TATTATTATCATTAAACACATGTTATTTGGTCTTCTATAGATGATAAAAACCCATTAAACCCACAAATTGACAATAATATGGTTGAAATATAAACCACCATGTAGATTAATTCACCTAGGATTTCAAAGTTACTGTGGAGAAACAACCTCAACACAGTTAAAATCCGACATGTTCATCACTTTCCTATGTAGTCTTTGAAAGGAGATATTTGTACTATAACACTAACAAAGAAAGCGAAGAGAAAACATAATAATGGAAGTAAGTTATCGATTAGAAAGATACGAAAAATACGCGTTTCGAAATAGGTTTACTTAAATTGACGGCTTGAACAATGTTTGGAGTTTTGTAGCCTGAACAAAAGAAAAAGAAGACAAAGACATTCGGATTGCAACAGAGAGTCTAAAGCATGTGGAATGTTCATAGGTACAAAGTCACCAACGTTATTTTTCAGAAGAGGCTCGGAAATCAAATGGAGAGAACCACTAAAAGGCATTTCTATGAATTTATTTCTAGACCTGAACTCTTCCAAAAGTCTTTTTTCCCTCGATATTTTGTAAAAGCAGAGTATAGATATCCCTATAATTCGTTTAAATAAATGAAAAAGAAAACTCCAACATCTATATTGTCCCTTCTCCAAGTCACGGTGCTCAATTTATCCAAAACCGATCTTTATTTGATGTCTTATGATACGACGCTACATACCAATTGAGGCTCTATGCGCCTTGTCTTTTATGCAATGATTGTGACAAAGACAACAGACCAACTATTATTTTTGTGTAGATTTAGCTTGTAGTTATGGATACTGTTTGCAGTGACTCCTCTGTCATCTCCTCCAAACATCGCAGTCTCCTATCTACAGTCAGATCTAGGGAAAACGATATTTTTGGACCAAAACTATTGTCATCAGGTTTTTTGGACTTGATCTATTAACATTGGCCAATTTAAACCCGAACTTCAAATTAATTCAAATTCGATACCCAAACATATGATTTTATTGTTGATTTAGACATTGACCAAGTTACCGTTAATCAACGTTAACGGAACAGTGACATGGACGACACGTAGACAAAAGAAATGGCTTTCTTGGACCAGAACTATTGTCATCGGGCTTTTTTAGACCTGATTTTTTAACACGGCCCAATTTAAACACGAACCTCAAATTAATTCAAATTATTTAAAAAATTAAATAAATTCACCTCATAATTCTAAATAAAAATCTAGAATCGAATTAAAAATTAAATTTTAATTTGATAAATATAAAAATTATAAATCCAAAATTTAAACTGTAATTAAAATTTTCTAAAAAGTTACATTTAAAATGAAAGAAATTAATATTTTTAAACCATAATATTAATTATAATCATGATAAAATTTTTATA